CGTGTCTTTCGTTTGATTTTGTGGCGTGACTGAGCACATGATGTAATGATCTATTTTTTTCATATCAATATATGATTATCTTCTACGAACAAGGGTGTGGCCTAGTGGTAATACCACTAGCCTAAAACCTGAAGGTTCCAGGTTCGAATCCCTTCAGTAGTACCTTAATCACAAAAATTTAAACCTATATATATCACCCGGCTAAATTACATATTTGGTCACTCGAATTAGATAAATATTTCACGTTTGCCACCCAAATTACTTTTCTTTCTTATTAACCACTAACTTTACAATTCGTTTCATCAATAGTCACCGACCGTTAGTCTCCGTTAAACTCCATAGTACCTTAATCACAAAAATTTAAACCTATATATATCACCCGGCTAAATTACATATTTGGTCACTCGAATTAGATAAATATTTCATGTTTGCCACCCAAATTACTTTTCTTTCTTATTAACCACTAACTTTACAATTCGTTTCATCAATAGTCCCCGACCGTTAGTCTCCGTTAAACTCCACTAACGCCGTCAGAATTTTAATGACGTGGCAAACAGAAGTAATGACTGGGCTAAAAAAAATTGAGTTATACAATTTAAACGCCTAGTCAGAAAAAAAAACTAAAAGAAAGATACAAAAAGTTACCCTTCCCAATCCTTCGTCCCCTCTCTCGATTTGAGAGACACCGACCACCCTTAAAAAAAAAGCTCCACCACCTGTTGCTTGAGTCTCTACCTTTCTTCCCTCTGATCTCCGTCCAAATGCATCTCCGTTTCAATCCAACACCACAAATCGTCACTAAATTTCCATATCCAACACCACTTTCTATTTCGTTCATCTTTTCCCAAAAACCCCAAATCTCATCTGCCGCAGCCTCCACCGTCGGAGTTATTTCCGTGACCGGCTGTACCACCAAGCTTTCCCGTCGCCATCGGATCCTCCATCCTCTCCAAGACCAATCGCTACAGCCTCCTCTTAAGACCACCGCTACAGCCTCCTCCGGGAATCCACGACATCGTCATCGGCCGCTACACGAATCAACATCGATCCGTAGTTGTCGTCGTCCCCAGTTTCTTCTTCCAGATCTAGGGAAACCTTCTAAAACATAACCACCCCTAAAAATCAAATTAAAACTCCTTAAACTCGGAATCAAACGAAAACCCTAAAAATCGACAAGCATTGAGAAGGAATAGACCACTTACCATCTTCGTTCTCTCAACTTTGACGAGAGCAAAGCACCGAAAAATTGAGATCGAGGGAGGAGGAGAGTGTGATATGGGGTTCTTATCTGTCTGTCTGGGTTTGATAGAAGAGGGAAGACAGAGAGTATGTCGAGAAGAAACAAAGAGGGGGAAGGAGGATGAGAAGCAGCGAGGGGAAAGGAGGGCCGACATTGGTGAGTTGGGTTTGGTTGTAAATAATAATAATAATAATTCCAGTTCAGCCTTCTGTCATCCGAGTCAGTAATTCTGTTTGCCACGTCATCAAAAATTTAATGGTGTTAACAGAGTCTGACGGAACTTAACGGTCAGGGACTAACGGTGAAAAGATTTGTAAAGTTAGTGGTCACTAAGAAAAAAAAGTAATTTGAGTGGCAAACATGAAAGATTTATATAATTTGAGTGACCAAACATGTAATTTATCCTATATCACTCTTATAATTACCCATTTGGAGAAGGAAGAGGAGAAAAATAGATTTTCACACATATAATTTTTCCATATAATATTTAACATATACTAATCTAAAATAGTTAAATAGTAACATTTTAGAGATCTCAATAAAATCTACCAACTTACTTTCAATTACTTGCAAACACATTTTATATGGGGAAAATTGATAGCAGAAACAAATCAGGGAAACGAAGAAAAGAAAAAAACAGAGCAAAAACATTTCCATTTCCTCACAAATCTCCAGATTACAACACACCCTCTCTCTATCTCGAAAGATTCTTTCCCCAGAAAATCAAATTTTAAATAATTTGAAAATCGGAACAAATCCAAATCGAAAACAACTTTGTGTATCAATTTCAGTTCAAAAGTATGCACCAACTGAAGCATAATCAACTCAGTCCCATAGCTCCCCACTCTTCTTCTTCTTCTTCCTCCTTCACCGCCGCCGCCAAGACCATGCTGGAGCGGGTCCTCTCTTCCCGCCGCTACGCCCCCCACTCCCCCGACGACCCACCGCCATCCTCCTCCTCCACTTCCCCCGACGGCGGCCACGGCATTTCCTCCTTCGTCTCCGCCGACGAGTCCAAGACCAAGCCCCCGAATCTCTCTTCCTTGGCCTCCAATTACATCTCCAGGATGTCCCACTCTTCCTTCCACTGTGTCATCTTCGGCCTCCTCCTCTTCGTCCTCGCCCTCGTCGCCTCCCTCATGTACCACTCTCGCTCCCTCGTCTGCATCTCCCGCTTTGATCCCAAGTCCCGGGTCGGGTTTTTCGGGATCAACGGTCTTGAGTCCGACTTCGGCGCCCTCGGTGTTCCCTGGTGTAAGTTTCGTCCCCTTTGTCTTGTGATTCAGATCTGGGTGAGTTCAATAGCTGTTTGTTTGTGATCTGGGGTTGTGATTGCTTGCTGAGAAAATGTCTGTGTGGATTGAGTAGGGATCGAGAGATCATTGAATTCAAATCAACGTGAGCTGCTATTTAAGTAAGTTACGTCATTCCAGGGCCGAATTAAAGTTGTCGACTTTCTTTGGATAGAATGTTAGGTCTAATGTTATTGTCTAGATGCGGGCTAGGTTGGGATGTATCTTGATTTGATATGCTCTTGATAGTCTGAATGATCGGCTATGGAATCTACTGTTGGTTAGTTGATTTTCCTGGTTGTTGGATGTGGTCAGAACTGATGTCATTTTCTCTGCTATTGATTGCATAGTTTAATCTGGAAAGCTGAGTTCTTATTGTCGACTCCCTTTTAAATTTTTCTCTTTGGCAAAAGGCAGATCGAAACATGGTAAAACAGTTGAGTGGACATCCAAGGATTTGCTCAAGGCCCTAGAAGAGTTCATACCAATTTATGAAACTCGACCTATCAAAAACAACATGTATGGAATGGGTTTCGATCATAGCTTTGGGCTCTGGTTCATGGCACGGTGGCTTAAGCCGGATCTTATGGTCGAGAGTGGTGCTTTCAAGGGTCATTCGACGTGGGTCCTGCGGCAAGCAATGCCTGAAACTCGAATCATTTCGCTTTCTCCAAGGCACCCTGAGAAGTACCTGAAGAAGGGTCCTGCTTATGTTGATGAAAATTGCACCTACTTTGCTGGAAAAGACTTTGTAGATTTCGGAAGTGTCGATTGGAAGAGTGTGATGAGTAAACATGGAATCACTGATCTTGCACGAGTCCTTGTCTTTTTTGACGACCATCAGAATGAACTGAAAAGGTGTGGATAAAACTATCTTGCCACTGGTGTCTTCATTTCTTATGTAGTGTTTCAACTTTCAAGTCACTTATATTCTTCTGGATCGCCTTCCTATTGGGCAGGATAAAGCAGGCACTGAATGCTGGGTTTCATAATCTTATTTTTGAGGACAATTATGATACTGGAACTGGTGATCATTATTCGTTGAGGCAGATATGTGATCAGTCCTATATAAGAGGTACGGTAATTCTAACCTTTCTGCAGCTTTTACTTCATTCCAACTGGAGATGTTTAGTTCATATTATATGTATTATCAGAAAACTGAATCAACAAAGAGAAAGTTCAAGTGGTGATTGACTTTGTAGTCTTAGAGTGGGGAGAATTTTGCAGTTTAATATCTGTTGGAAGAATGGTTTGAATTAGTGCCTCAGTAACTGTTAGCAGTATGCTCCCGTTTCCTGTCTTCTCAAAGAAACTGTTAACAGTAACTGACCACAATTCTCATTTTCATGTACTTCCATTGGTTTTGGCATAAGCAATGGGATGCTGATGGAAGTTACACTAGTTGATAACTCAGTTCTGTGTAGGGTTCATCATTTACGTAGGGTTATCATAATGCAACCTATTTTCATCTGTTTCTAGGTGGTGGCCACAGTTGCTTCAGAGATAGTGATGAAGCCAGGATTCGGTTCAAGAGGAAGAAATTCTGGGAGAAAGCAGTAGATATGGATGAGCTTTGCGGACAGAACGAAGCATGGTGGGGCGTTAGAGGATGGATGCGAGATAACTTCAATCACAGCAATAAACCAATTTCCTACGAGGAACACTTCCAGAACAGCCGGTTTATTGAGTCGATACTCGACGTGTACTGGGAACTCCCACCAGTAGCCGGTCCTTCTCTCACGCATCAAACTCGCTATGATCCAGCTCGTGTTACCAATCCCATTGTTGAAGATGGGCGATACGGATTGTTTCAGCGGCTGGGGTTGAGTAAACTCGACAATTCTGTATTTAACGGTTACACCCAGATGGTGTACCTTCAAATCTCGGAACAACCTTAGAGCACTTTCTTTTCCCTGGATGGTTACTTTTGGGTTGATTTCTTGCAATAGTTGAAAGACTTGAAAGTTGTCCATACTAATGTTCCTTTTTTTTTCATATTAGCTGGTGGTCTGACTGAAGATGATAGTACATAAGTGGTTTTGGTTTGCTCCCCTTTTTTTGTTTCTCCTATCGATTCAAAGTTCTGAAGTCTGAACCACTCCACTGGTATTCCTTGGGTTCCAATTTGACTTCTCTTTTGCTTCCGCTTATTTTATGGAGTCACTTAAAAGCCGGTTGGGAACCGATGCCTATTCATAATTAGCACTTAAAGTGAACTGATTACATGGGTGAGCAAAGTCAGCATTGGAGTAGATAAATAGGGTTTCGAGCCAATCAGGTTGTAGGTTGATCAATTTGTGGTTTAGCCTGATCATTGGTTATTTGGGTTGATTAGTTTCAAACGAATGAGTTGTGTCAGATGTAGACATTACTTGGGCTGCAAGTTAATTCTGTTATAGGTCGATCAACTAGTGGGTTAATTGAATCACTTGTCAATCAGGTTGCATATAAAATAGGTTACAGGCAGCTATGATTGTATTAAACTTATAGTTACCAGCCAATCGGACACATTAATTGTTCAGGAGCATATTGGATCCCGAATGGACCAAGTTGCATTGTTGATGAAGTCGCAACTCAGTTCGGCTTATAAATCAATATAAGCTCAAGGGTTAATCGGATTAGGAATCAATCAAGAGAATGACATAAGACACTCCACTCAGATTACTATTGAAAGGACAAACATTCACCAGAAAACCCTCCTCATGTTACCACTGTCAAAAGGTAAAATCCTAAGAGTAGGATGACATTACAACTTACTACACACACTAATACTTCATTCATATTTCCAAAAACATAACTCCGAGAGAGCGAAAAAGAAAGCACTTCACGACTACAAACAGTTCCCCAGGTCTGGCGTAAAATTTTCTTCGGTGAAAAATCTGTGCTTCACATCCTTTTGCGTTTCTGTCCAATTTACATGCATTTCTCCGTCTCTCTTGGAGCTGCAACTGCATCAACTGCAGAAAACAATGGTACAAATTCATCAGTGCTTGATTATTGTCTCACTCCGTTGCTTCCAGAAGGAGTTAGTGTGGCAAAGTAGGCATTAGGCAAATCAAGAATGGGAATTTAAGGCCATACCGAGTCCTATAGCGTCTGAACCTTTCATGATTCGGAGTCTCCTGCAGGTTTCTGTAAACATTCTGTGACCACAAAATGGTGAACAAATATCAGGACATAAACTGGTTTCATTTTGCTGAGCCATGGATCGAAATGCGAACATATACAAATTCAACTTACTCCCATGGGACATCACCAACAAGCATCCAATCACCATCCTTATCTTCATACGTGAGAACGTACTCAGATCCATTCACAAGATCCCTAGATTGGCCTTCGCTCATTAAGCCATCTTGTCCCGGACTCTCATTCGAGGTAGACTTTCCTGAAACCAAGTCAGTCCACAGAGAAGAAAGGATCTTCAGAACTTGAGTGGTAATGTATTTTCTAAGAGAGGCAATTCAATTGAAAAGCAGTTAACTCTAAAGGTGAACAATAGCGTACCAAAGGTGAAGCTGCAGAACATCTTCTCAAGACCAGAAGAGAGGCCCTTGTAGTTGGTATAGGTTTTGAGATCAACTTTCCTCAAATAAGGAGCACCATCCAAGCTGACCTTCACATAGAGGCAACCAAATCCTAACTTCCCCCCTTCACCTTCTTCATTGTTCTTTGCCGAGTTAGATGCCATGGTGTTCTTTCGTGATGAAGATATGGGCGGCCATCCTACCACCTGTGCCCTATCAAATTCACCAAGAAACCACCATACCATGGCGATTAACATCAAGTAATCAACTCAAAAACATACAAGAGAGGTGTTTTCACCATAAACGAATACACACCCATGAGAAGAAAAAGAAAAAAAAAGACTGAACTTAGAATTCAGAACATCCATATAGAGAGAGGCCACTTGAATTGATCAGGTTCAAGTTGAACCAAGCTAAGCAACAAGGTCCGGCTTAAGAGTTAAAGACTAGCTAGCATCACAAATCATGGCATCAACATCAATACTCACCCACGCACCGTAACCTAAATACTAACAGCTTGATTTTGCTCACTGTTCCCTTCCAAAAACAACCCTAGTTCCAAGATAGAAAAAGGGTAAAGTGAAGACTTACTTAGAAGCAGGAGCGCTACTGTGGCCATTCATTCCAGAGGCTTGATATTTTCCCTTCTCTTGACCACCAACACAGACATCCTTCTTCCTCATGCTTCCTGAAACACACGAATTCAAGGCAGGCCCACTTCTCTTGCCCAAATCAACCGCCTCAGACTTCTTCTCGCATACAGAGAAACCCCATCTCTCAGAAGACCCGTTCATGGCGTCTGAAAACCCTCTCTTCGCCCCTGACACCAGATTCGTCGCATCTTTGATATCTTTGCCAAACAGAGACAGCCCTGAAGAAGGAGATTGGAATTGATGCTTTCTCTCTGGGGACTGCGAGCCAGGCAAGCCAAGCCTCAGCTCGGTTTCCTTGATGCTGTTGCTTCTTCTGTCGTCGTCTCCTTCGGAGGAGGAGGAGGAGGAAGAAGGAGAGGCGGCGAGTTTTGCAGGAGATGGTTCCATTAGCGGCGGCGGCGGCGGAGGAGGAGACGATAAGCCGCCTATGTAATCATGTTCCGGTAGCGGTGGCGCAGAAGACATTCAAAACCCTTGGAATCGAGAAATGGAAGGGGAAACTGGAAAAGGGGATGGAGCTTTTTGGAAACCCAGAAAAGGGGAAGGGAGGAAAAAAGAGGGATGGAAAATGGGTTAGCCTTAGCAGTAAGCAGAGGGAAAGGAAAGGAAAGGAGAGGAGGGCGAGGGAAGAGGGAAATGGTCGCTGGGATGGGAAGCAATGGTGGGGAGCTGGTTGGGTTTTGTTAATGCAGAAAAAGAAGCTTCTTCCCCTCTTTCTCTCTCTCTCTCTTTACTTTTTAGAGTTGCTACTAGCACTAGTGCACTACCTATAGTTTGGAAAGTTAACAAGTGAATCCTTTAACGGAAGGAAAGCAAACAAACGATAAAAGCTTTGCTAAGTACTAGTCATTCTGTTAAGAGATTATTATTTTTTTTTTTTTTTACAAAAGATAGTGATATATTGAATCAAACCAAGAGATAGTTACACCCTGGAGATCAGCCAGGCCTGAAAATCAAAAAACCAAATCATAGACGGGTACAAAGAAAGGGCTCTTCTAGCCACCAAATGGGCTACCCTATTGTGACGCCGACCTACAAACCGAATACCAAAACCAGACTGGGCGCTAAAAAACTGCATTGTCTCCTCCAACACCGCCCCCGACCGACTATCACGTACATCTGCCTGCTTGATTTTATCAATGACAACCTTGGCATCCCCTTCAAACACGATGTTGGTCATCCCAAGCTCTAAACACCAATGAATAGCATCCCTAAGCACAAGAAGCTCAACCACCATTGGGTCATCAATACCTGGGAAGTGGACACCCTTAACTAGGAGAATCTCACGTGAGTGTGTCAAGATCACCATCCCACCCGCCGAGTGCGAACCACGTTTAGTCGCTCCATCCCACATACAAATCAGACTGCCTGTCCTCACCGGATCCACGTACTGGGCTGTTCGAGCACCAGAGACTTGCTTCAAGCCAGTAGAAGGCAAACTCATCCACTCCTCCAGCTGCTGGTGGAACTGGCGCATCAAGGCATGGAAGCTATACTGCTTACCCTCAAAGACAACCCAATTGCGGGATCGCCAAATGCGCCAAAGAACAGCCACAACAGCCATGAACAGATAGTTTTAAGTTTTTTTACAGATCAATTTGACTTGAGATAATTGTTAATTAACAGAAAGACTAGTAAGTTAGCAAAATTAGAGTAGGAGGCTTTGGTTTGTTTAAAATTTTGAAGATAGGTTTATATGTATATAGTTAAAAGAGTGTTTTTTTATTGGTATCATGTTAAAAGGTTATTCGTGTATGAGGTGCTTAGGGTTGTCTGTAAATGTGCCCGTAAATTAAACTTTTCGACTTTCTTGTTATTTCACTTCATATTCTACCAGGCCACTTTCAACTACACTCGTTCAAACTTACAATATTTGTTTTTGTGTCAGGAGACTGGACTATTGACAACGTTGTATCGTGCCACAGTTGTGGACAATTCAGCTTGAAATGTTGTCATTTTTGCTTATAAGGGTACTTATACAGACATTCTCAATTTGGAAAATAAACAAAATCATCATTGTGTATTTATTGCACCTAAATCCTTCATACACAGCGCTCACACTCCCACCTATTAAACTAAGCAATGATGTCTTTGGATCGCGAAAATGTGAGCGGCTCGCCACCATCAACGCTGCAAAAAGTTTGAAGAACTTTAATATTTTAGGAATGAAGAAAAAAATCGTAACAAAATTTGGAACAACGCAAAATTATCATTGTAGTAGGCACCTATGTCTCTACATCATTTCATCATGTCGATCGAACAAATCACTACATCATGAAATAACTATGGGTGTTTAGTATTAATGAAATTAGAGACAAAAACAAGATAACATTTCTCATTATTATCTACACACCCATTATATTAATTCTTGCAAAAGTGTGTATAATTATTGGTGTAAACCCCAGCCAAAACCCTTCACCGACAACTTACGTTACGAGGCTATCTTTCCCCGCACCCCTTTGTTCTTTTTGTCGTACCAACAAACAAGCTCTTTAGTTAGTCTCTACTCTAGGATGGAAGAGGAATTTAATTTGTTCCTCCAACACAAATATATATAGCCAACAAGAACATAATTAAAGAGAAAACTAAAAACAATTAATTTGAGCAAGAAAGGAAAGGAAAGGAAACAGCAGCGTGAATCATATCGTAAAATAAATGAGTGATATATATATATATATATATATATATATATATATATATATATATATATATATATATATATATATATATATGGTGCCTTCTACGGTACCCCGGGTGAAATCGAGGGTACCGCATACCTTGAGTATGAAAATGCTATCTAGACCTCGAATTAGTAGGATTTTTGAACCTGATACTATACCCTAACCCTTAATAAGTGAACCCTAGTTTCTAATTATCTAAATTATAAACTATAAACCCTAAGATGATGCATTCATTTTTTTGCCTTTATTTGGACGAATCATAACCGTCGATTATTATTCTAATTAAATTGATCTTGGAGTATTAGATTTAGAGAACTAAGACCTAGATTTTGATCTTTAAGGGTTAGAGTATAGTATTATGTCCGAAAGATCACTCAATTCATTGTCTGAATAGCGTTTTCATACTCAGGGTATGTGGTACCCTGGATTTTACCTTGGTTACCGTAGAACTCCCCATATATATATACATATATATAATAAATATAAGTGGGGGAAAAGGACGAAGAACGGCAGACAGAGTGCAGAAAGTGATGGAACCAAAAATAATGAACAACTGTCCCTGTCCCGCTGTCCCCTGCCTGCCCCTTCCTTTCATTATTATTATTATTTTTCTATCATAATTATTTATATGTATATATAAAAGCCAGCCAGCACCCCAAATAAATTCGGATCTTTCGTACCAAATATTACACACAACAACAACTAATATCCCATAATGAAAGACCTTTTCTTTCTTCACCGCGTTTTCTTCCCTCGCTTTACTTTTCTTCCTTCTGTTTTTTTTTTTTTTTTAAGGATTTCCTTCCTCCATTTGGTCGGGAGATATTTTATGTAACATAACAATGTCAATAATAACAAAAGGAACATTGTTTGTGTCAAGTAGATGTGTGGCTTGAACAATAAGCTGAAAGGACTTGGCTCGCAAGTAAACTAACGTTTGAATTACTACTCTACTCGTCAAATTCCCTCCCCAGTGAGAGTACCATATTTCGTTTTTTTTTTTTAACGGTTGAGTTGATATTTGTTGAACTAGTAATTGTTGTATTTGTGGACTTACTATGGTCGAGCTAACATTAAAAAAGCGACATGTGCCAGATTTGTTTGGTGACGGTAGCACGAGTTTTAAGTAATTAAATTTGTGTTTTAGCGCAAGTAGTTACATTCGGTAGTGGAGCCAGGAGTTGAAACTGGATGTGTCCTTATTCGGAATATAGAACATTTCAATCAGCGATTTCGTTTATTGTGTAGTAATTTGATTTCATGGCAATCAATTGACAAGAATTGAGCTTCATTGCAGTGGTAGAATATTCTTATGCAACCTCAAAATGAGCATTTCAACTCCTTGCATAAGCATACATCATAATTTATTCTTTTTTGAACCAAATTTTACATGTTTCCCTTAACAGAGCGAATAACCCCGTGGATTTGCCTCTGGCTACAATCATATTGCTGAATTTTTTTCTCCTCTATTTCGTACAATATTTGTGATTATTTGGTGACATCTCCGACAGTTGTCCGCTTAGTTGATGGTGTTGTTGTTGTTGGGAATTTGCCTCTGGCTACAATCATATTGCTGAATTTTTTTCTCCTCTATTTCGTACAATATTTGTGATTATTTGGTGACATCTCCGACAGTTGTCCGCTTAGTTGATGGTGTTGTTGTTGTTGGGACATTTTCTCAACTAACAGAATATTGTTGTAGCGAATTGAATCAACTTAAAAAAAAACTGATAGTGTGAGGGAAAGTTAGTTTTAACAAAATTAAAATTTGGGGAGCTTATGTGCTAGTTGATATAAAATTAAGGGCATAAGTGTTATTACCTAACCTAGAAGGAAGAGAAAAGATGGATAGAAAATGAAAGGGAGGGGACATGGGGGCAAACTTGCTTGCATCCTTGTAACTTGTTAAGGGAACCAAAGGTAAACGGTCAACTTCCCGCCTTGCCGTATTCCATCACCGCGACCGTTTACCGGCGAGCCGGTCAACCATGGAAATATATATTGTAAGACTAACTCCGATATGAGTTGGGAAAAATTAATCAAGATAGGAAAAGTGAGGTTTTCTCACTTCTACAATTGGAGGGAGGTGGTTTGGGAGAAAGATCAAAATAAAAGTGGAAATTTGGATGGAAATTCTACTCACAAACAAACGAAATAGGAGAGAGATTAAACATTGGGATGATTAATGTGAAGGACACGTCACACGCTCTAGGCGATATAATTTTCTCTGAAATTCAGGTTTTTTCATCCTTCTTCTATCATGTCTCGTTCCACTTTGGACTACGTAGGTATAATAGGGTTGTCTATATCGTGGCAAACCAACCTCTTTTATTGTTGGATCGCTTCTTGGTTGACCAACGCCTCTTCTTTTCAACTACTCTGTAATTTGGTCTGCAAATGTCCTATATATATTTTCTCGTATCTTACTGTTTTGCGTCTGGCATACCTCTGCCAGGAAAAAAAGAGGGCAACGACGGAACGCTAGCGCAGGGTGTTGCACACGCGGTGAGGGGGCTTGCAATCTGGTGTGCCTATTTTTACTTTTTGCTAAAAGAAATTAGTATTATGTGGTGTGTTTTTCAGAATAATTCTTAATTATGTTTTTTTTACAATGTGTTCTTTTTATTTTGTTGCTTTTTAGTACTTTAAATTATGTTTTTTTTTATTGTGTGTTGATAATAGTACTTTAAATTTACCTTTGATGCATGTACTTTGATTATTATTAATAATGAATAAGTCATAAAATGTGAGTCAAAATAAAAAAATACATTAATTTTTTTTTCATAATTAATTATTACTAACTATTTAGAAATAATGATCGAATCTTTATGTGAAGTAACCAGATCAACACTCAATTAATACCATCCTAACAAAAAATCACAAAAAGTGGACGAGTGATCCATTACGCAACCAACTTAACCAATGTTTAACTCGTGTTATTATAGAAAAAAATATTAAATATATCTCTTTATTATTTTTTACATTAAACATATTCATGTACTTTGAAAAAATATCAAACATTATTATTTTGTTACAAAACTTCATCCAAAACCGTCAACTACGCGGGAACCTTTG